GAATCCTAGGTAGTAGTTTCGTATGGTGTTTCTCACACCTCCAAATTCTTGAATCCTAGGTAGTAGTTTCGTATGGTGTTTCTCACACCTCCAAATTCTTGAATCCTAGATCCGCATGGTAATAGAAAAGCTTTACTTGTATCAAAAAAAAAGTTTAATTAGCTTATGGCTTTCATTTTAAAATTTCGTTTAAAAGTAATAAAAAACTATCGCTTAAGTATAAACTAAAACAAAATTGTAGAACGTGTATGTTTATGGTGTTCAACTTGACTTTATATAACAACTAATTATTTTAGCAAAAAGCTTAAAACAATATGATTCTTATCTAATAACTCTCATAAAGTTCTATTTGTGATTCTTTTCTACGTTATGTAGCACGACTTTCATTCAATACTATAAACGTATCACAGTTATGTCTGTTTAGACTCGCACTTCGAGCGTGTGTTATAATTTTCTTATTCAAATATAGCTGACGCGACGTAATTAGGGCCAGAACATCTATATAGATATACGTCAATATATGTGTGTGTGTGTATCTGTTCCTTATACGTTTATACATTTCTTGATTAATCAGCACCAAACTTGACACAGTGACACAGGAGGATATGAAAAAGGTTTTGTGTGTGTGTTGGACTACCAAATCATCGCAACTTGACACAGTGACACAGGATGACATGAGGGGGTTAGACCCACCACTTAATTTCATTTTGATAGAATTCTTGAAAACAGTATGTCTTTCTTTTCAGTATTGGTACCTTTATGTATTTTTATTGCACTTTTAAAGTTTATTATGCTAAGAAAAAAAAAATAGAAGCACAATTTGCCATCCTTTGTTACAAATGAGTTTTTATTTCACCCATCCAACGGATGGATACTCCAGCTATTATCAAATATAACTAGAAAATTTGTTTTTATTTTTGGGTTTCTCCCAGAACACTGACATCTGTGATTTTACGGGCTTTGAAATCATTTGCCAACGATTACAAAAAGGAAGAAGATTTGTTAAAGATTATGCAGAATTCTTGAAGCAAAGGTAAGAATCCCGAAATCCTTCATTGTTGCTCTTCTTGCTCAGTGTTCAGTTTTATCTAGAATGTCTGTATCAAACAACAAATCGAGTCCTAGCTTTTAGTGAATCGAAATGTTAATATAAAACTTCGCAGATACATTCTTATTTACTATATACAGGACCCCCAGTGGCACAGCGGTATGTCTGTGGACTTACAACGCTAGAAACCGGGTTTCGATACCCGTGGTGGGCAGAGCACAGACAGCCCATTGTGTAGCTTTGTGCTTAATTCCAAACAAACAAACTATATACACAAATGATTCGCAAAGACAAAGAAACACATGGACGAACCCTAACAAAAATATTGGTGTCGAATAACATCTTTTATGTTCTTTATCAGTTTATGTCGAAATGTCTTCATTCGGAATTCACAAAGCTTAAGATTCTGAAAATACAGCACGTTTTTAATGCGATTGTGCTTATTACTGACAGTACATTAAGTTGGGATGCTCGATTTTGTTTACGGCTGACAGTGTAATACGTTATGATTTTTTTAAGTATACACTTTATATGTTATTTTATATTACACGAAATGTCACTACTTAATATATATATATTCTTATATAAACCTTACACTGTACGAGAAGAACACCAAAACTTAACCTTTTAATATCAAAGTAAAATTAATAATATTCTCCGGTAGGAGATTCCTGCCAGACTGAGTCCTAGGTCAGTGCTTAATACACATTTGTAAAATGATGTGGGTTTTCTTTTTTGCTTTTTACTGTTTTCGTTATTCGATTTTTAAACATTCACTCTCTAACTGTAATAAGGTGTACGTTCTCTATTTTTTCACAACATATGCTTATAAATGTATAGCTGCGACAAGAAATGAAAGAAGCGAAATATATTGTACATTACGTCAACACAAGTATCGTTTATTTTTCTCACAGTTTAGCTTACTTTTATTTTATCTTTACTCGCAAACCCTTTGTACATATAAGTAATTCTAAAACGGTTACTAGTCTCTGGTATATCACCTGCTAATGGTGTCCTTTAATACACTGTAAGCTTCGAAGATATATGTTATATAATCTATGATCGTTTTTAGGTGGCCCCCCAGTGGCATAGCGGGATGTCTGCGGACTTACAACACTAGAAACCGGGTTTCGATACCCGTGGTGGGCAGAGCACAGATAGCCCATTGTGTAGCTTTATGCTTAATTACAAACAAATCACAAATCGTTTTTGGGGTGCTTCTGAATAGGCTACATCAGAACAAAAAAAAACAACATAAATTTATATTAGCACCTCAAAATAATTAATCTGTGGATTAACTGAGTAAATAGTTACTTATAAATTTACATAGATCAGAAGTTATAACTATCATTAGTTAACGCACAGGCACTAGAGGAAGCGAGATGTTAATTTAGATTTTTTTTTATCACGTGAACGATAAGGCGAAATATGTGTGGTTTTTCAACATTATATACTTAAAACAATGCATTTGTGTGCGTATTCTGTAAAACCTTTAATAGGAGCTCTTGAATATATTTAGATCACATTTTGAACTTTAGATAACCTGTGAAAGCAATAAATTATTCAGGTTTGAAAAACACTTCGCTATCTTATTATTTACAAGTGTCGCTTACTCTGTGGTCTAACTGCCAGATGAGGAAGTTGTTTCTTAGAGTGCCACATTTCGTATTACACTCTCAAATAGCACCACTTCAAATTCTGAATCCAGTTGAGATATGATACTTGTTACGGATGTTGATGAAAATCGATTAAAAAATATCTAAATGGAAAGATCCTCGATGATAATGTAACAAGATATGGGTATTAACAGCGGCCAGATAATGAGCACTTTTACATGTATATCTATATATATATACATCACACAAAACTAAATCGCATAGAAAGGCAACTATTTCTGAGTAAGTCAATGTAGAAATGACTTATTTTTAAATCAATATATTTGTTAATGAGAAAGTGCGATACTGTATTTTTCTTTTCACTAATTGTTTTCATTTCTATTTGTGTTTTATTTTTGAAGTTACTAGAAGCTTTTTGCTTGTATGAAAACAAAAGAAAACCGAAAGCTTTTCTTACGGACTTCGTAAACATGTTACTATGACATTTAAGGCTTAGTGGTGTAATATATATATATAACATAGTGAAAACACCAAAACAACACAATTTGCCGTACCACAGTGATTCTTACAGAACTCATTCTTGTAATAGACAACAATCGCTTACAGAATACAAGGCGGGATTATAACACATGTAGCAGACGATAATATCTTACAGTATAAAAGGAGGGAATATAACACATGTAGCAGACGATAATATTTTACAGTATAAAAGGAGGGAATACATCGCACGTAGACACAATTAAAATACTTACAGCGATAACACCGAAAATAAAAGAAACGAATCTACTGATATTTTAATATAACAACATATTTTGTCAGTCCATCTTCTTGTTTGCTTCCCTCAGTTTTCTGTGTGCCGAACAATGCGTTTTTTTAAACTTGACATACAATAAAAATCTGGGAAAAAAAGGCTTGACTGTGAAAAGGAGAAAGAGCCTTCTAGCGGTAGATGATTTTTTTCTTACTTAATTCTCTCAGAAGCATGCATTAAGGAATGCCTGGAGAAGGAACGTCTGGATAGTTATGGAACTTCACAGTTAGGCGCAGTAAACAATGTTTTATTCCTAAGTATGAACAGAGCACTGCACTCGATTCCAGATGCCACTTTGTTGATTATTCAATATTCCTTCTATATATCAACGCAGAACAGTCAATCTGAGGAGAATTAAAACAATATAAAACTGTACTTATCGACTTAAATTTGTACGGCAGCGTCTAAGAATCAGTACTGGTAGACTTACTTATATTGAAAGTAGTGTTTCGTATTGATCACGTTTTCTAGCCCGTAAGATTTTATTATTTACCAGTCTACGTGGATTTAAAAATCTTTGTGTGGTTTTTAATTTAGAAACATAATTTTTCATCTATGGGAGATTCTTAATGGCTTAATGAAGACATTAAGTCGATTTTCTCAAACATATTATTATCGGTTTTTTTAAATATCATTATAAAACTATTGATAAGTTTTAAATCATCAGTATAGATGTTGTAGGCAACATAATGAAGAAAATATATTTTTATTTCGATATATACAGATTGTCTCAGACTGTCTAGCTTTCTACTAATCTCTCATTTGTCTATCAGAGCCCAGGCTGAAGAAGCGTATGGTAATTCTTTGGTGAAAGTAGCCAAAAGTGCTGGTGGAAGATACGAAATAGGGTAAGTATATCTTGAAGTGTGTATACGAATAACTCTAGCAGCGGAAGTGTTCAGTTTATCAGCAAATACGAATTTGGGTAAGTATATCTTGAAGAGTGTATACAAATAACTCTAGCAGTTTGTGTGTTTCATGCGTCATTAAATATTTAGAATTTTCGAAATAATTTGTCAGTGGATTTTAGTGACACTTAATCAAAAGTTTTATTGTAATATCATGTTATTTTTAGCGCTTACTCAACATTTCGAGACTCAAAGAAATAGTCTATGGGTCTATTACATGGTTACTATATATAAAAAAGTGTAAACGTCACTAGCATAATAACCAAAAACTTTCAGACTTAAAGACATCTAGATATGAGTGGGCACATCGACAAAAGTATCAATATTTCGATCATCAACAGGATCAATCTCACTGAATCACTCAATGATACTCTGTAGACATTTTGACTGGCATTTTATTCATGTAAGGAAAATATTATAATTCACTTGTAATTAAAAAAAACGATTTAAACTCTAGGATAAAACAGAAAAAAAACTTACATCTTACATCTTCTAATCTAATCTCTCTAAACTGTTTTTCAAGTTCGTCATTCTGGTTCCTAGTTATCATAGTAACCAGCTCGTCTCAGTAACAGCTGAGTCTCGACCGAGTTGTAATATTAACCGTGAAAAATGTAGTTATAGTTCGGTTTTGTGATGATAAAACTTTAATGTGTCAAACTAATATGCACCGTCTGTGGTATTGCTATTGGATAAACAAGACTGTTTAGTTTAAGAGTTATTATTTAGTTTTCATAACAAGAGTGTTAACAATTAATGATTTTAAAAGCGATACTTGTACAAGTTTTACCAACGAATAGTGGGATAGACCGCCACATTACAACGTCCCCACGGCTGAAAGGCGAGGATGTTTGGTGGGACGGAGATTCAAGCCCACGACACTCATATTGCGAGTCAAGCGCCCTAACCACCTACTCAAAGTTTCCAAATTTTTCTAGTTATGTATAATGTTGTTGCTACTAGAGGGTTAGAAATTTCTAGATTATTCTGTTGTGTGTTATAAATACGTGCAGATGCAGAAAATTTTTTGAAAAAAGTTTTTTTAGCCGTAACGGGCAATAATCTAAAGTAATTTCACAGTGGTATTTTAACAGCAACGATGAAAAATATTAACTTGTCGCGTCAAAGGGTGTTCTAAGGTAATTGAACCCGCCTGTGTGGATTTTGACGAAAAGAAGACAATTATTTAAAATTCTGGATACAAGTGTTATAACCCTCGGGGTAACGTAGGTGAATTTATCACTATCGTATTGTGATAACAGAGCAGAGAAGAAATTATTCGCACTTGTCAGTTGGGTTCTAAAGTAACTGAACCAGACTGTGTGGACTTTTGACAAAAAGAAAAGAGAATTATTAAAGTTCTAAATAAAACAGGGACTTCCGATAGTGTAAAGAGTTTTTGTACATACGTTTGAATTGTTTTGAGAATATTATTTTAAAACAAATGGATTGTATACTGTCTGTTTATTGTTTAAATTTGTCGCCAACAAGTCACAGGCACCTACTGTAAATAATCCGGCCCCTATACAAAACCTGACAATTACCCACAACCACACACTGTACTTATCTGCTGCGTTTATAATGATATGTAAGAATTTTATCTCATACAGAATACTATGTATAATGAAAATATTTATCGAACTTCATCATTAAGTGAAATTTAAAAATATACGGTGAAGTGGTTTATTCAGCCATTTTAAATTTGAATCAACCTGATATATTTTTTAATATTTAAATTTTAGTTACATTAGTTTTTTTAACAATTAAGTACCACATTTCATATCGTTAGTGTTATTTTTCTATTTCTTAGTACTCTCCGCCAGGCTTGGGAAGTGATACTGAATCAGACCGAATTAGTAGGTTTAACCTACCTTAACAATGCACACCAGTTGAACAAAGAAAAAACTCGGATTCTTGAGTTTGTAGAAAATCTTAATAAAAGAAGTAAAGACAGGGCATGTCAAACACGTGAAGCAAACAATGTGAAAAGACAAAAATATAAGCAACTACAAGAGGTAATTCTATTTGATTAATGTTTTCAGATTTACAGAGCTGGTGGCGAAGACTAAGATGTTCATAATTAAGATAAAAATCGGTGTATAATTAGATGGTCCCAATATTCGTTCAAAGTACAAACTAAATTTATTGGATAGTGTTTCATATACAATGTTTAACATGTAATTTTGTTATTTCCTTTTGATACTAAAGATTCTCTGAACATTTAATTCCCACATATTATAAGTTTTTTCTTTGATGTTATTTAGAGGATTTTGGCTTTTCCAAGCTTTCTTCTAAGAACCACTTGAAAAAAAGAAATATTGATAAACATTATCATGTGTATACCTACACATGCATTACGTGAACGACAGTAGACAGCTATCAAACAATAAATATTAAAGTTCATCTTTAAAATATTAGAGATTATATTTTTCAAGCGACATTTTATCCGCTTTCTCGTTCCATTTGAAAATATTTAGCCACAGGTTTGAATATGATATGCACATATAAGCAAATATATGACTAAAGTTCACTCTTTTAAAGTTTTAAATTGATGTTACCGAAATACCAAACACAAGTTGTGTTGTTTCGTATAAAAATGGAAAGTTCAAAACGTCAGTTGAGAGTAAAACATTGGAAATTGTCATGTTAGAATTCTTGTTTACATTGTAACTACGATGTCATAAACCATGCTTATCTGTACTAAAACTAGAATGTTTGAAAAGTTCATGCTACTGTGCTTATCTATTTATTTATTTATTTGTTGTCGCTTAAGGAAAAGAGGACGTATTATATGCGATGTAGGGAGTCTGCATCGTACTCAGATTATTTAAAGGAAGAAACGGAGAAACAGAACTCTCAACAAAAAGAATTTGAAATGGTGACGTATTGGTTTCTTTAAGCATTTTAATAATATATATAGTAAAAATAATTACTGTAAATATAGCTGTTGTACAGTTTCTTGACAAACAAGTCATGTTTTCTATGGAAAAACAGGAATAGAAGCAGCTTTTAAAGGTTTAACACTGTTAATCCCTATAATCTTGTGTATTTATGACACTGTAAGTTCTGTTAATAAAGAATAAGCTTTATTACAGTTTTATATTTGGTGCATATATATATATTCTTTATATTTAGCTTTTTAAAGGCCCGGCATGGCCAGGGGGTTAGGGCGCCCGACTCGCAATCTGCGGGTCGCGGGTTCGAATCCCCCGTCCAACCGAACATGCTCGCCCTTTCAGCCGTGGGGGCGTTATACTGTGACGGTCAATCCCACTATTCGTTGGTAAAAGAGTAGCTTAAGAGTTGGTGTTGGGTGGTGATGACAAGCTGCCTTACACTGCTAAATTAGGGACGGCTAGCGCAGATAGCCTAGCGCAGATAGCCCTCGTGTAGCTTTGTGCGAAATCCAAACAAACAAACAAGCGTTTTGAAAATTTATTATTATACTTATTTGATATCTAGTTTTTTGTTTCGGCACACGTACGAAGAAGGTCGTCTTTTCGTATATACGATGTGAAATTTGTACGTTTAATACAATAAAACTAAAACATTAGAATTGTTATTGTCCACTAGAGAAATCGTCTTTACGATTAAGAGAACCCTGGGTAAAGACTATAGATAAACTCTGAAAGTAAAAAGTGGAAATAAGCGATAGCCAACCCAAGAAATAGTCAATATATTCGGACGTCCATTCTATAGCGTGGAGAACAAAAATAGAATCTGTGAGCAGCAATTTATTAATAAACAGAAGCTGGATACACAAGAAACTGGTGATAAAACTAATCTAATCAAGAAGCTACCTTGAATCAAATAAGAGATTGGCAGTAGTGAAGTTGGACATATTCTGTCAGAAGAAACTGGCTTTTCTGTATTGACTTTCAGAAGGTCAATGCAGTCACATATAGCGATATTTACTCCTCATCTCACACTGATTAGAACTTAGATACTTTAATGGGACTACCTGGTTTGCTTCTTGGTCTTAGCTGCAAAACACTAGTAAGTAGATTCCAGCAGAACATGGTAGTCAAAACAGCTCTTCATATGGTAGGGAGCCTTATAATTTCAAAAGATGCCTTTCGAGAGTTTTAATGACAGAAATGTAAAGATTATCATTAACTTAATTATTTTTGAATAAACACTTGAGACATTTCCAATTACTCTGGAAAGCTAGACTAAATTTAATTAAAACCGTAGTAATCAGAATGGAATTGAACTTCTTTAAACATGTTTTTAGCCTAAATGTGACATAGGATGACCCAGCAAAGGTCAAAATGATAAAAAATATCAGCTCACTACAAATTAGAAGCCAGCAGTATCTTGGGGTTTGTATTCGTTACCAAAAGTTGATTAAAATACTTTGCTTGTGTGACTTCCCGCTTCTCAGTCTTATAAAAAATATAACCGAAATTTGAATTGAAATCTTCATGTAAGAAGGTTTAGTTTAGTAAGTACCAAAGCACTAAATTTATGCTGGAAAGGTTTTGTCTAAATTAGGAGCTACTCTGTCAAAGACTTAGAAATATAGAGGACGAGCTAACAGATATTTCAAATCGAGCCCTGGGATTTTTCTTTCAAATTAATAATTATGCTTTTAAAATAATTATTGGTGATATTCTGTCAGTGCTACAATCACATCAATATCCTAAACAAATCATATTCAGAGTTCCTATGATATATTCAAAATCCAGTGATAGCCACGATTCATGCCTCTTCAAGAATACAGTATTAAAATTGAACATCATACAGCCCATTATCAAGGCATTATAGATGACTTAACTACGTCTACGGTAAAGAAATTTTTATTAAAAAACGCTTGCTGGTCCAAGTCATCAAAAAGCAACTTCTGCATTGAACATGTTTCAAAAGACTATTACTACTGCGAAAACAGTGAGAAAAAATTACAATAACATCCTATCTGGGTCTGCAGTTGAACATACTATCTGGACTTACAGATGAGCATACTATCTGGGTCTGCAGGTAAACATACTGTCTGGGCTTACAGATGAGCATACTGTCTGGGTCTGCAGCTGAACATATTATCTGGGCTTACAGATGAGCATACTATCTGGATCTGCAGTTGAACATATTATCTGGGTTTGCAGCTGAACATACTATCTGGGTTTGCAGATGAACATACTGTCTGGGCTTACAGATGAGCATACTATCTGGACTTGCAGATGAGCATACTGTCTGGGTCTGCAGCTGAACATACTCTCTGAGCTTGCAGATGAACATACTATCTGGGTCTGCAGCTGAACATACTATCTGGGTCTGCAGCTGAACATACTCTCTGAGCTTGCAGATGAACATACTATCTGGGTCTGCAGCTGAACATACTATCTGGGTCTGCAGCTGAACATACTATCTGGACTTGCAGCTGAACATACTATCTGGGCTTGCAGCTGAACATACTATCTGGACTTACAGATGAACATACTATCTGGGTCTGCAGCTGAACATACTATCTGAGCCTGCAGCTGAACATACTATCTGGGCTTGCAGCTGAACATACTATCTGGACTTACAGATGAACATACTATCTGGGTCTGTAGCTGAACATACTATCTGAGCCTGCAGCTGAACATACTATCTGGGTCTGCAGCTGAACATACAGTCTGGTCTTATAGATGAGCATACGAAAACATGTGTGAAAATGTTGAGAAACAATAAACCGACAATTGTTACCTAATAGTGAGCTGAGTGAAGATACAGAGCATTAAGTATACAAGATCATGTATGGTGAGTTGAAAGCGATAATTGAAAACTGATTTAGCAGATATGTGTCTGTTCTGGAAAATCAATTGCATCAATTATGCATGTAGTGATTGGTGAAATCTCTTGAAATGTGAAATCCTGTAAGCTTGACTTATTAGTATAGCAATCAAACATCAAGAAATGAAAATAAATATCTAATCATTATATAACTTAAGTTCTTCCGGTCAGAATTACAGCAAGATAATTAAAATGATTAAAAGGGACAACTTGACAAGAGCTTTTTTTTTATTATAGTATGTAATAGACAGCATTTTATGTGTTTAGCACATAACTCGTAACACCCAAAGGTATTTGATGATGAATTTGCCAAATAGACCTAGGTTCTTGGCTAATCAGATTGGGACTTCACTAGCGACAGTAGTGACCATTACTGAGTTTTCTCTACTATTAAAACTATACGACGATCAGAGCACCAACTGTACTAATGCTCCATTGTATATCAGTCCATCGGTTTTTCGGCAGTTTAGTGATATCAATGAATAAAAAGGCTTCTAGCTGTATCGACCACAAAAGCAGACAGATGTCCTGTCTAGTACTCTGTAAATGATTTTCTTACATGAGACAAGTGGAAATTTCTTTCAGCTTAATTGTTCTAATAAGAAATAAATACATTCAAAATGGATTTTTCCGAAGTAGAACTATTAAATGTATGATTTACTTACTTATTTCTATAATTATAGTCAGTTAGTGATATCAAATATTTTACATGCTATAATTTTTTGTATTTGTATATGTATGTTTACTTTTCTTTTCTTTTTCTTAATTATTAATATTTCATTCCTTTTGGAGGGGATGCACTTTGTACAAACATTTTCTTTTGTACTTTTTCTGTCTCCTTTCTATATACTAGCTTAGCTGTAGTTAGCATTATTATTTATTTACTACATATTGTATTATCTAGTATGTGGATAAAATTGAATTTAATTACATGTTATCTTAGACATAAATTTATATGTTTTAGATCATAAATAGAGAATATTTTTTCTGACAAGCATGGTTTCGAAACAGTTTTCTCAGAACCATTGATTCAAATACTGACACGTATATTAATAAGTAACCTGATATATTACACGACTTACTTTTAATTATGACCCACTTGTACTCAAACACGTATTTTTAAAAACCATAGAATTGCACCCATTATATAAAAAAATTAACTCATATTTCATATTATAAATATTTCTTTGTTTCTTATCTGCTTTTACCGGAATATTTTAAGAATTTAAGATCGAATAATAGTCACAGTATTATTAAGTCAATAAATTCATTTATTTTAAATGTACATAATAATTAATTACTAAAGTATTTTGTGAAAACAAGAACCATGTGTTTCACACATTTAAACAGTGTAACAAAGTGCACGGTTTAGATTATTTGTTCCAGTAATTGTGTCATAAATAACGTTCAGAGATTTAAATATCAAAGTATGTTATCGTCTCGCACTGTATTACATTGAAATCAACCAAGCCAGTTTATTGCTTTACATTGTATCGGGTATTTCAAGAGTCACTTCCATTGTTCAGATGAGTACGTTTGGGAACAACGGACACATTGCTGTGAAACTCTACGTGTGACCCAGTTTGACCATGTAGAAGACAACCTACACGTACGTAATTGTGTGTTGTGTTACGATAACATCATGGCCACACTACATGGTAACTACGGGTATAATAACCATCGTCCCAAAGCATATTCAAGAATTGTTCAACAAGCCATTGCAATATGGGTGGTGACTTCCACATGGTCATATTGGTCTAAACACCGAATTTCACATCGGTTTTTTGAACCTACTCACCTGAACAGTGGAAATTATTTTTAGAACATAAAATATTCGGTATAACAAAGAAGGAACAACGATAACACTAACAGCAACAATGGAATTGACTTTTAGAACATAGAACATTCTGCATAACAAAGAAGGGACAACGATAACACTAACAGCAAAAATAAAAGTGACTTTTAACATGAAACATTCTGCAGAACAAAGAAGAAAAAAGGCTAACATTAACAGCAACAATGGAAATGATTTTTAACATGAAACATTAGGTACAACAAAGAAGGAATAACGATAATACTAGCAGCAACAATTGATGTGACTTTTAACATGAAACATTCGATGCAACAAAGAAGGAATAACACTAACAGCAACAATGGAGATGACTTTTAGAACATGAAACATTCGATGCAACAAAGAAGGAATAACACTAACACTAACAGCAACAATGGAGATGACTTTTAGAACATGAAACATTCGGTACAACATATCATTGAGTTATCTATTTACATTGACTTCAGGGCAAATCCTTAGTTACACTGACATCTTGCCAAATAACTTTAAAAAAATATTGTATTTATATGAGCTCTTCCAAACTGATAAAGAAAAAAAAAAGGCCTTGCACATTAATTCATTGAAAACTTTTTTCTTTTCAGATTGTACAAAAGCATAAAAATGCTGTCCAGATGATGTCTGATGCTAAAGATACTTACTGCAAAAATCTAGAGAGCTTTGAAGAGTACTGCAAAGAGTGGGAAAAGAAAATGGAAGACACTTGTGAGGTACATACTATGTAAATGCTTTTATACCTCAAAATACACAAATGTAAATTGGTAAAATATACAATAACTTAATAATTCTTGTTTTTTTTTTTAGAAACGGCAAAAATGTATCTGTACATTGTCTGTGAATAGAAAAAAAAGTAGGAGGTAAATCTGTGTTCGTTCTCTTTTTGTGGGAAATTATTTATACATTATTGCAAAGTTAACCCACATATAGGTTCAGACAGAACTTTATCTCCAAATTGTAAGGTGACGTCTAGTGAATTGAAAAATGTATGTTTTCCTGCTTAAAAAGAGTTTGAAATATGAACACAAACACAGATTCAGGCAGAACTTTATCCCCAAGTTATTAGATAACGTCTAGTGAATTGAAAATGGTATGGTTTCCTATTTAAAAAAATGTTAGAAATTTCCGAGTTTTCTAAAAACTTGAAATTTCTTGAAACACGGGATATGAGAGAGAAAAATTACCTCACTGAAGCGGTTTCCTGAATATAATAATTACCAAAGAAACATAGTTTTTAAGCCCTAAAGGATAGCCGAATAGTAATGAAAAAAAAATCAAGTCAGAATGAGCCCAAGAGCTTAAGAAGCCAAACCGAGTTAAGCACGTACAGTAATCGAACATTTTAAATAACCTTTGCATCTCCTTTGTTATGAAAACTCTTGAAACTAATATAAAAATGTATATATAACATTAATATTCCAATTAAAATAATTCACCCCAGGTAAAAACTGAAAATCACGTCTTCTTGCTCCTGTTTTAACAAAAACGCTTCATGCAATAACAAATAATTTATTTGGTTTGGCAGAATACTTTAGAATACCCTGACCTAGGCTGCAAAATGGTTGTTGTATACCAGGCCACACATAAGGAGTGTATTTATATGTTGTAGAAACATGTGTAATATCCATTCAACAAGGAAACAGAGATTACAGCGTCTTTGTAAAACATTTTTGTTTATTGTTTGTTGTTAAGTGCAAAGTTACACAATGGGCTATCTGTGCTGTGCCCACCATGGGTATCGAAACCCGATATTTAGCATTATAAGCCGTTAGGCTTAATATTCTGCTATTGGGAGTGAGAACTAAAAAAAACATTGTATCAGTATCGTCAATTTAACAAAGGGTAAACTAGTAATTACTGTTTGGTATCCTGAAAAGAAAAATAAATAAAATCCTTAATTATTTAAAAAGATAAATGCCACATTTAATTGTGATTGTGAAAAGTTTAATTAAAAAACAAAGTGTTTTTATTTTCTTTCTTCTTCTTTCTCTTTGAGTACTTGTGACGAATTTGCAAAGTTTATAATTAATTTATTATGTCTAATAAATTAATTTGTCCAAGTTTATTTTATCGCTTTTATATTTCATGTTTAAAACTAATTGTACGTTCTATAATTTTATTAACCAAAATTAATATAACGTATACAGTTACATATTATTCTCTGCATTATTTTTTTTCTGTTTGAGATTACCGAACTCGAGTCGTTTATTATTGTTGCGAGGTGTTACACGTGACACGTGTTACATATTATCACATTGTTGTTACATCTTTTTTTGTATTGTTTACATCTCTTCTTGCGTTCTCCAGTTTAACGCTATGTGGAAATGATATAATAATACACTGACAAAGCTGATACCGCGAGACATTGGAAGTTAAAATATATTTTCTAATGATTAGTTGTATTTACTATAACTTTTGCGATGGTATCAGGATTAAAGTAAAAACAATGATTGCTTCATTCTAAAGAAACGGGAAAATCCTTGTATTTATATCTGTAATGAAGCAAGTCATCAGAGTGACTGGCTGATGCCGTAAGTTATGTTTATTATTGTTTATTTGTAATTAAGCACAAAGCTACACAATGGGCTATCTGTGCTCTGCCACCCACGGGTATCGAAACCCGGATTCTAGCATTGTCCGTAAGTTATGAGAATATTACCTAACACAGCAGTAATTATTCAAAAAGAAATAGCATATTTAGACAAGAGAATGGCAAATGTATGCAGGAAACAAAACTCACTAAAAAAAAGTAAATGTTTTGAATATTCCAAAGAGATAATATGTACTGTCTAGTTGGTTAAAGCGGTTCGTTGGAAAGCTAGTAATAATTTGGATATTTCTAACGTTCTGGTTTCATTTTCAACTTTAAGTAATTCACCTCTGAGGCACATTTGTAAGTTATATTTCTATTAAAATTACAAATTTATCGAAACAAACAGACTTTGTAGCCGGAAATTGATGAGGAACATAAAACGTTAACTCGTACCGAAATCAAGAGGATCCTTAGATCATTAAGTGATATAAGTTTCAATAGCACCCACTCCCTGTTACTGTTTCCAGGATGTGAATCAATCATCGAGATATAAATATTACTACTGAAAATGTTCCAAGAATGCAGAGGATGTTTGCGGATTTCGGCCCACGCTCACCATTACATCATGTTAGCACGTTTTTTAAGTCTTGTTGTACTTCGACTTTTTTTCATTTGTGCCAGAAAATCTATATATTCTATCAAGAACTTAGAAAATATACAGAAAACAAAAGCTCAATGTTTTTTTTTTTAGAATTTGAATAGTAGGTAAAGCTTGATAGCTAGAATAAAGCTTATATCCAGAACTTATCAAGAACTTAGAAAATATACAGAAAACAAAAGCTCAATTGTTTTTTTTTTTTTTTAGTATTTGAATAGTAGGTAAAGCTTGATAGCTAGAATAAACCTTATATCCATCCCGTTTTACTTCTCGGCTTCAGTAATCTAAAGCAGGCAGAAATTTAAGTATCATACGTATTTCAAACAATTTAAACTAAGCCTGAACATTACATGAAGTTTAATTGAACGTGGGGTGTGGAAAAAAAGGAATGATTATTTCCGTCTATCTGTTTTGGTGTTACTGCAAAAACATACATTTAAAGTTACACGAGGGCTATCTGCGCTAGCCGTCCCTAATATAGAGGGAAGGCAGCTAGTCATCACCGGTAACTCTTGGGCTAGTGTTTTACCAACGAATAGTGGGATTGAACGTCACATTATAACAATGACGGTTGAAAGAGCGAGCATGTTTGGTGTGACGGGGATTCGAACTCGCGACCCACAGATTGCGAGTCGAGCGCTCTAACCACCTGGCCATGCCGGGCTAATTTAGGCTTATCTGCACATGACAATGCAGCGTAGACACGTAGACGTGAATGTATTATAGTTCTGATCACTTGCAACTAGCAGGTGTTATCAACTAAATACCTTTCGGTTCACTGCTTTAATTATTCGTTAGAAGGTTTCAGTGTTTTTCTTCTTAGCCATGTTTTGTTATAAAATACAATATAGTTCTAGACTAAACATCATAGAAATTATGTTTAACAAGTAGCACAGCTAATAATTAAATTATTAATAATTAAATGGATTTACTGTGTTGTTAGTTCGTGAAAATAAAAGTAAAGCTGAAATTCTACAACAGCTGAAACGTTTAATTTCTCTGAAGCCTGTTCTTTTTATTTTAAGAAATATGTCTAACTTACTTCTTTTCTTGATAATAGCCTATTTTAAAATGCATACGAACGGATTATACACTCGTTTTTATTTTAGATACATGCTTAAAAGAAAGTGACCGAGTCTCATACGGACGGATTATAGACTTGTACCTATTGTTAAATACACACTTAAAAGATAAAATACAGATACTTTCTTATGGTTCTGGAAGTACTCCAGGGACAAGAATTTGTCCCCCCAGGGACAAGAATAAATGGGTGAAACGTGAATCTTGAACATTTTTTTCATGCATAAGTTTTAAAAGCATTGTCCTCGTGGGCTTAAAACACTATGAAGAAATACGAATATGTTCCCAGCACGCTCTACTTTTCGCGATGATATAACCAGTTATAGAACTTCATTTTACAACTAAGTAAGTAAAGTGTTACGATATGTGTAGGATTTGAAAGAGCTGCAAAGAAATGGGCACGAGTCTATAATCCGTTCGTATGAGACTTAGGTTCTTTTAAGTGTATATTTAAAATAGGTACAAGTCTATAATCCGTTCGTATGAGACTCGGTCAGTTTCTTTTAAGTGTATATTTAAAATAGGTACAAGTCTATTATCCGTTCGTATGAGACTCGGTCAGTTTCTTTTAAGTGTGTGCTTAAAATAGGTACAAGTCTATAATTCGTTCGTATGAGACTTAGGTTATATATATAACACTGCTTTGTCGCAATCTGGATTATAAAGATTGCTTTTTTTTGTTTAAGTACATGTGCTATATATAACACTGCTTTGTCGTCAATCTGGATTATAAATATTGTTTTTTTTGTTTAAGTACATGTGTTATATATAGTTCTCGTGTCTTGAGAATATCATAATATAATAGTTGACACTTTATTCTGTCACAGTTTGTGAAGTTGTATTATTGCAGTATCTGCTTTTCATCTTTTGTATACCTACATGCAAGAAACTAAAAAGTTATTATCAATTTCATTTTTAAGCACCCTGTACAACAGTTTGTAATATGACTTATGTATGGCATTAATACTTGATCTTTATATACACGGTCATAGAACTAAAAGAACAAAAGCAGAGTTATATATGTTTTACTGTTGTGTATTGTCTTTTAGTTTTATAAGTGGATAATATAATAGTACGAAGTGAGGAAGTTTTTTAGTAGAAAAAAATACTTACTAAGTAAGAAAAAATGACAAGAATAGCACATGTACTTAAACAAAAAATCAATCTTTATAATCCAGATTGACTACAAAGCAGTGTTATATATATAGCACATGTACTTAAACCAAAAAAAACACAAAAACAATATTTATAATCCAGATTGACGACAAAACAGTGTTATATATAACACCTATTTAAATAAAAAAAACAATCTTTATAATCCAGATTGACGACAAAACAGTGTTATATATAACACGTATTTAACCAAAAAAAACAATCTTTATAATCCAGATTGACTACAAAGCAGTGTTATATATAACACGTATTTAAACAAAAAAAACAATCTTTATAATCCAGATTGACGACAAAACAGTGTAATATATAACACATGTACTTAAACCAAAAAAACAAACAATCTTTATAATCCAGATTGACGATAAAACAGTGTATCTCAGACAAAAATGCTTATTTCAATTCGATTTTTTAATAAATCAAGATACATGTTGTCTGTTACAAAAATTTGCTAAGGGAGGGTATCATGCTAACAGCACTAGCCGCCTTAAGGGCATTGTTCTGCTCTTTGAGCCGAATTAAAAAAAGGGTTAACTGTTCCTTTTGTTCTTCCCTCACAGCTGAAAGCGTGGAACGTATTCAGCGATATCATGTCCCTAACCATCCAATCCGCAACCCGACATGCTAACCACTAGTCCACTCCACGACCTATAAGTATTGAATTCACGAGTAGTCACGTAATTCAGTACTAAATCCTCGTCTTTGTGAATTTTAATAACAAATAATGATAAGAAATACCACAATAACATCTGAAACTCTGATTTTCAAATCCTTCCGGCTCTTGTAAAAATAACAATAAAATAAAAATCCGTCGCCGAACATACTCGCCATTTCAGCCCTGAGGGTGTTATAAAATAACTTTGAATCCCATTGTTTCTTAGTAAAGAGTAATCCAAGTGTTAACAGCAAGTGTTCTCCATTAACTAATTCCCTCTAGCCTATCACGAAAAATTAGGGACGTCTAGCACAGATAGCCCTCGAGTAGCTTCGTTCGAAATTCAACAAACAGACAAACGGGCTTATAAAACATCAGCTAAATATCTCGTTATTCAGTTGATCCTCTCCCGATTGAAAATTCCTTATACGTGATTAGTACGATCTATAAATTCAAGACTAGCAAGTTTTGGGAGACTTTATTACAAATATAAACGAAACTTCTTAGGGACGAATCAAATCGTTAATTAAATTGGTAAGGGTTACTACTTTCTTCAACGACACGAGTAGTTTTGATTTATTATAGTGTTTTTAGTTGTTTCTCAAATCAGCTTTCGATGCTTTTAGCTACGTTATTGTGTTTCACTAGGTTTGTGTAATATTTATTTTAAACAGGCTTTTACACCTACACTGATGTACCTCTATGTATATACAGTTTGACCGCTTTAAAAATGTTCGAGCAGAGTAAAATATTACTGAAAGTTGAAAGAAAATACCTGTATCATGTTGGGTAAAACAATCGATTGATTGATATAGAAGGATACTGGATATACAGGGTATCCGAAAAGTCTGAAACCATAGTTGATCTGCAGCTTTTCTTAATTTCAGATACGTGAACGATTATGGCGCTGGCAAAGCATGAGAAGATCGAGTTAATCCTACTGTTAATCCAAACTTGTTTCGAAGTAAAAGGACAGCATGTAGAACACATTCTGTAAAATTAGTCGAAGTGCCTGTGGTTCCAGAATTTTCAGATACCCTGTAATGTGTTCACGAAGACGAAACATCACGAAACAACGAATTTAGGAATAAATCAAATTTCACATATCTTTTCTACACGAAACGACACAGCTACTACCGTTAATAATACAAACCATCGACAGATCAATCAAATCACTTAGACTTACTCTCTAGGTCCATACTAATACATTTTAATGGAATAATATCAAACGATATAATCATAAAACGAAGCGTAATGCCCAATTCAAAGCGACGTGGAGATATCAGCTTAAAGTCTTATCTGCACATAGGTCAGGCGTGTCTTCTTGCAGTTACTATTCCCGATTACAGATCACAAGGTCCAAGGTTCGAGTTTTCAATATGCCACTCCATACGCTTCGTTCCTTTATCTGTGGGCACAATATGAAATTGACATTTTCTGTGGCTTTTCGGTTAGGAACAGCTTTATAGATAGCTGGTGCTATTGACTGGCAATCTTTCCTTCTATACAGCTCTTCAAATTTAGGGTCTGTTACGAATGTACTTAGGGTTTCTGACCTGGTTCTATGATCCATGTGACGCATGACGTTTGTACACTATTGCTAGGAGTTATTGGCAACTGTCGAAGACTGCACGATATTATTAGCAATTTTATATTAGGTTGAGGCATTTTTCCTAATTTTACATGATCACTAGGTGTTATTGATAATTTTCCAAGATTACACGATATTATTAGCATTTTTATATTAGGGTGAGGCATTTTTCCTAATTTTACACGATCACTAGGTGTTATTGATAATTTTCCAAGATTACACGATATTATTTGCATTTTTATATTAGGGTGAGGCATTTTTCCTAATTTTAATCGATCACTAGGTGTTATTGATAATTTTCCAAGATTACACGATATTATTAGCATTTTTATATTAGAGTGAGGTATTATTCCTAATTTTACATGATTTTTCGTATATTTGTAACTTTAGATGAAAGGTAAACATTATTAATGATTCTACGTGATTGTTAAGTATTATTAATAGTTTTACACGATTAAGAAGTGTTGTTAGTAATTATCTATGATTCCAAAAGCATTATTAATAATTTTACGTAACTGTGATGCATTATTAATAACTTTACATTATCACAGGGCTATGTTTAATTAACACGTGAACATTTTCTTGGACATTTCAATAAGACTTTTCAGGTTCTTGAAGCGGAACGGATCTTTTTCCTAAAGGATTCCATGTGGTCTACTGCCTATATGTTCTCTTCGTTGCATCTGAATGGGAAAGAGGTAAAACACATTTTAGATTCAATGTGTATTCATTACAGATTAGCAATAGGTTTAAAAAACAATGCTTGGTCAGACTCTCACTAAATCAAACTAAGATAATATCTGTTCAAAAAGTTTAAAATTTTTATTTTCAACAATAAACATGAAAAAAGAAAACTAAAACAAGCCAACATATTTTGTAAAGATAGATAGAATCATATGATTCAATTTGAAAGAATTCAGATCTTTTATGAAGTACTTTTTTCTCTCTTACGATCGTAGATTTTGTTACTAAACAATAAATTAAGTTTGTAAAGTTATGTCTACTACTACATACATATAATAATTCCATGTATATCAATAAAATAAGAATAGCAAAATTCAAATACTTAATAATAGAAAAATTCAAGTACTTAATAATAGTAAAGTTCAAATACTTAATAATAGAAAAATTCAAGTACTTAATAATAGTAAAATTCAAGTACTTAATAATAGTAAAATTCAAATACTTAATAATAGAAAAATTCAAGTACTTAATAATAGTAAAATTCAAATATTTAATAATAGTAAAATTCAAATACTTAATAATAGAAAAATTCAAGTACTTAATAATAGTAAAGTTCAAATACTTAATAATAGAAAAATTCAAGTACTTAATAATAGTAAAGTTCGAATACTTAATAATAGAAAAATTCAAGTACTTAATAATAGTAAAATTCAAATACTTAATAATAGACAAATTCAAATATTTAATAATAGTAAAATTCAATTACTTAAACCTTGTTTGTGTATTACGTTAAATAAAAATCGGCTTCATGTTTTTTTGTGTGTTTTTTCATAATATCATTAAGTAGCATTTATTGCGCGTGTAACACTTGTTCTCTCCAAATACTTACTGTGCATCGGTCAAATGGTACACACACACATGTGCAGTTTGAACGCAAGAACATTATTATCAAATTAGCCTCAGGCGTTGAATTAGATTATTTAGATTATTCTGTTATCTCCTCAATGATATGATAATTCACTATATCATTCTTATCTTTATGCATGTGATAAAGATAAATTTCCTACACAAAATTACACATAACTTCATTCTAATTTGTGAATGTTTTCAAACGATCTTAATTCATAAACCACTAATTTTATCATCTTAAAAAGGTTTCTTTCTATCACAAAACTACAAAATAGGTTCTCTGTGCTCAGCACACCGTGAGTATCGAAACCCGATTTTGAACATTGTAATCCCACAGAATTACTGTAGGGCCACCGAGATGGGGTGGCTCCTACGTTTGTTTGTTGTTAACACAGCTACACAATGGGCTATTTGTGGTGTGTCGACCACGGGTATCGAAACCCGATTTTTAATGTTGTAAGTCCAGAGACTTGCCGCTAAGCAAGAGCAGGAGCTTAAGGAAAAGGTCACACTGAAATGGCATAGTCAAAAGAATGAGTTATATGGCAATTTAATTTATATGTTTCTCATATTTATTTTCTTTTAATACTGGCTTTGTAACTCGCAGTCGTTCATTTTATATTTTAAACAGTTCTTTCTTTATTTCATTTTGCCTTTTTTCTAAAAATGATAGCTTGGAATCGTAAGGAATGCGAATTATGTATTTAAGATTGCCAGAATTATTTTCTTTATTTGAAATAGGAAACCAATCATCATAATCAAGGATACTTTAGGTAAACACAGGATTTAATTTAAAAAAAAAATGTTTTTTATAATTAGAGGCACGATATGTGTTTCGTAACAGAAACTAGAGAGAGCACACTTTAAGAGCTTTTGAAGGTTTTCTTCTTGTTTGTTTGTTTATCTATTGTAAACGATGATTGTGTGATTGGATTTTTTTTGTGGATATAACTGAAATATTTCCAAACGTATTGCTAGAAACATGAATTTCTAATCTGGTGAGTTGATTATATTTTCCAAACATTAACTTCTTTCTACTATCACTTTAAATAGTTATTTTTCATCTGTATCGAAATTTTGTGTTTATCGAAATCTTTTATTTTAACTAATGATACGAACCTTAGTTTTATTGCATAATAATACAAGTTATCAAAAAAAAATTGGGAAAATGTACGAAGTATAGTTAAATATTCAATTTACAGAATTGATTTTGAAATAAGTATGTGATTGGTGTATTCTAATTTTCCGTTATTTTTTGTTTTGGTCTAGTCATTTAAAGAGATTAAGAAGGGTCTTGAAAACATAGTCGCTGCTACAGATTTGGATTTGTTTATACGACAGAAACAGACAGGAACAGTGAGGCCTGGTAAGTTTTTTTTGTTTTTTTTTTTTACGTTACATATTCAGTGCCAGAAACATCGTTTCAAGTTTTGTGTTCAATGTTAGCTGTTATCAATACTTTTGAGATACTATGTTCGAGCAGTAAAAACTTGTTACACGAGTAGAATCTTTACTGTTCACAACTATTATTCACGTAATGGCTTGTTTTACCATAAGTTATGCTCACCATTAGATTCAATAGAATTTAGTTAACATTGCAAAACTTTGTGGATAGTGTTAGTAAACTCACTTTCATTTTTCGCAATCGGGCTTTCTCATTGAGCATTTTAAACACAAAATTCATTCAGTTCTATGGGAAATTCAACAGTAAACTTTCTAGTTATTATTATCTTAGACGTTCCACAGAGTAACAAGACCGTTTAAAAACTTCCACGATTAAACTTTAATTCCTTTGAATATTGTCCAGAATGATAACGAACCGATTGTAACTTTTCCAAGAGGCTGTGTTTCTTTTTCGCCTATTACAGAAGACTTAACGTTATCTATCACCTCCTGTAACCAGCTCTATCTGCTTGATAAGTTTGTTTGTTTGTAATTAACCACAAAGCTACACAATGAGCTATCTGTGCTCTGCCCACCACGGGTATCGAAACCCGAATTCTAGCGTTGTAAGTCCGAAGACACTACAAGGGGCTACCTGATAAGTAACAATGGATAGTTAAAGTGTTATTGTTAGACGCTTGTTTTGTTTGTTTGTTTTTTGAATTTCGCGCAAAGCTACACGAGGGTTATCTGCGCTAGCCGTCCCTAATTTAGCAGTGTAAGACTAGAGGGAAGGCAGCTAATTATCACCACCTACAGCCAACTCTTGGGCTACTCTTTTACCAACGAAAAGTGGGATTGACCGTCACATTATAACGCCCCCACGGCTGAAAGGGCGAGCATGTTCGGTGTAACGGGGATTCGAACCCGCGACCCTCAGATTGGTAGTCGAGTGCCTTAACCACCTGGCCATGCCGGGCCGTGTTAGACGCCCCTCATAGTTTAAATAATATGTTGTTTTCTTTGTGTTACGTTTAACATTGTTATATATTTCACGAACGATTCAGGTATTTTTTAATTTCTTATTCATTATTTTGTAGCTTCCTAAACATCAGTTTTTGGTTTTACTATAAGTTATTTATTGCTACTTATTAGATACCGTTTAAACAGTAACATGTATCGTTGGAAATGTGTCAAATATGCCACTCCTCTCTAAAGTAAAAAATTAGGAGAGCTGTACAAAAATCGGACATGTGATACTGATGTTACGTTTTACAGAGAAAATTAGTTCTCCGAACGTAGTTCTAGCAGACATCTAGTGATTCCTAAGTAAGGTATACAATATTATCTATTTATTGTTACTTTCATTAAAAGTATTGATTAGATTTTTTTAGTATGTCGAATATAATTAATTTCCGATTTTATTTTTTTTTATATTTAGACTTTTATTATAGAGATTGCTTTGCATTGTTAGCTTAATATATGTATTTAGGACTAGCCTAAGTCTCCTATCCTGGCTGAACCTCGTGAGATATTATTGGGTTTACGACCTAAAATATTGTTAACAGCGAAGATATCCAACTGACGAAACAATGCATTATAATATTATAATTACACAGTTAACAGCGTACACCAAGATCATACGAAGGTTTGCTCATATACTCACTAGAAATGTAAGACAAAGCAAGTTGCACATTTTTTCGTATTATTTCACTGTACTTTCAAAGACAGAAATAACAAAAATTTATTACAAATCAAAAACAACTCGAATTATTCTGAGGAAATCTGGGGAATAAAATGTGAAAACTTCGGTAATGGATTTCTCAGAAATTTAATTTTCTATTTAGAAATAAAACAACAACAAACAAACACATCTGCTAACTTTGAAACATTTTATTTAAATGTTTACAAGAACAAAAATATTATACTCATTCCCACATTTTACTACTTCGTAACATTAATTTTGTTTTTAACATAAATTGTACATTTTACTACATTACTTTGAGGTCGTGCTACTAAAATTACACAACAAAATTAGAATATATCTGGTGGTTCATTTAAAATACACAATAAAATTAGAATATATCTGGTGGTTCATTTAAAATACACAATAAAATTAGAATATATCTGGTGGTTCATTTAAAATACACAATAAAATTAGAATATATTTGATGGTTCATTTAAAGTACTTTAACTTCTATTGTTTTCTTTCAAGCATTTAGCTCTATCCTTATAGAACTTTTTTATTTAAGTGTTTGTTTGTTCGTACTTAAGCACAAAGCTACACAATGGGCTATCTGCGATCTGCCAACTACGGTATCGAAACCCGTATTCTAGCGTTGTAAGCCACTGGGAGCTTATTTAAGTGTAACTTTAGTTTAATGATTTTCTTACTCGTGATGTTCTACTGAATTGTAATATTTTCAGAAGAAACATATCTACTTCCTTCACTTCCCGTACTGCTTGTATTTTTATATCTTATATAGTGAAAATAATATCAAATATTTATTAGGTTTATTTATATTTGAATAATGCATATTTTGAAATAGTCATTTTTGATAAATCTGCCTCATATTTTATTTATTCTTAAATAGTGTACAATAAAACAGGGCTATGGTCAAAACCTGGAAAAGGAACTGCATGGAACACAGTTCTATCACATAATAAAAGCATTATTTTCCTTTTAAGATAAAATAAACTGAGGTTTCATTGTACGAATGTATTTATTTACATAAAGTAAACCGTGGTTTTATTGTTTGATATAATTACGTTCTGTACTGTTCCGTGATCTAGTATGCCGTTCTGCTCTGTTTCCAG